AAATGTCCAAAATATGCAAATCTATAGATGCAAAGAGTTTGTTAGAGTTTCCTACAGCTGTAGCTGGAATGTGGAATGAATACTAACTGACAAAAGGGTATAGGGTTTCTTTTGGAGGTTATGTAAAACCTTCTAAAATTAGATGGTAATGATTTTACAACTCTTGGAATATACTAAAAGACTGTGAAATGCACACCTTAATGTAATTGATTATATTGTGTTCATATGTTTCATTTTAAAAAGTATTATAAAAACTATATTGCTGATATCTATGCCTGTTGCTGCAGGTGGGTGTATATATTTTTACAGTCATTTTTTTTGATGACTGTATAACATTCTGTTGTGTTTTTATTAAACATGTAACAATAGATACTTGAACTATTATAGATCTTAATTAATGTTAACTGATGTTATGACTGTTCTTATGCTACAGATATTCAAAATGTTCTCTCTGATGTATACTTAAATCACATCAGCATCTAATCAGGTTAAATGAAATAGCCCCATTTACTTTAAATAAGGGAGAAGTTTAATAATATTCTGTTGTACAGAGTCAAAAGTGGGTAGAAGAAGAAGAAAAAAGGACTAGGTAATATTTCACCAAACTGAGTTGCTGGGAAAGCTTCCCCACTCTTGGAAAGAAAGAGAAGGATAATGTCACCACAGAGCCAAGGCTCATTATACCACCAAGACTGCTCTTGTAGAGCCTGAGAAGGAATCCAGATTCCCACATTCACCAGTTGCTGCTGCTTTCTCAATCGCCACCATCCCTGTCACCAGAATGCTGTCACTATCACTGTCACAACTATTTTTGTCACTACTACCGCTATTTCTACTAGTGCCACTGGCATGCCCTTGGTATAATAGCATCACTACCAGAGGGAAAGGAGCGATCAGAGAAGGGGACATTCTCTTTTTCCTTCTTGCCATTGGTAGAACACAACAGGAAGGCAGCTGGTCAGGGCAGCCAAGAAAGAGAGTTTGCAGATCTGTGTGGCAGGAGAGAGGAAGGTACCAAGGGAAAAGTGTGGAGATGAAGGTGGCAAATTTGTTCTAACACAGTCCACATCCTTGAACACCTGGCTTCCCCTCACATCTTCCCACCCACATCTAATCTGCCATAAAAACCACTTTGCTTTAGAAAACTCAAAAAGCAGCTTTAGTTCATCAAAGATGCTCTTTCCCAGGATTGCCCATGAATTCATCTCTAGAAATGTTAATTCCTTTACTGATAAAGCCACATATGTATCTAGACATTTTGCAAATGTAAAGTCAAATTGTAAAGTTTATTAAAAGCAAAAATTTTGAAGTATATAGGGGAAAAAGGAAGAGAAATAAAATGCCTAATATACAAAATAATGTGTACAGAGGAAAAAAAACATACAAAGCTATCATAGTTCTTGCTTCTGTAACCAGTCACAAAGACAGAGTTTATGGTCATCATTTTTATCTTTTATTTTTCATTCTCTCTTTTCTTCTCCTTCAAAGAACATCTCAGTTGGTGATTCTTAATGAGATGATCTCTGTTGAAGGCTCTGAATTATTGGAAGAACTGTGTTGCAGATTAAATTTTCCTTCCTCACTGTGTATGTATCAATTGGGTTAATCAGTCTATCTAAGACAAAAACATGCCTTTATGGCTGTTCATTAAATGACAAATACAATCTCTACTTTTAGTTCTAAGGAATGATATTTGTAACTTCTAGCAGAATTAATCTTTTGTGGGAACTACTACTTTGGAGATCCAGATTTCCACTGGAGAAGCCACAAAATGTTTGCAGCTGATTTATTAAGTGTAAAAGTCAAAGTAGGTTCTCCTGCCTCTAGTCTGTAACCAGACATGGGCATCAGTCTCTGAGAAAGAAAGGTCCACTCCTTAGATTATAAAGGAAGCCCGGAGCTTTGGACAGGTAATGACTGGAAGGGTGATTAACAGGTCACCACAATTTTTACTTCACTAAAAGCACATTTGAAACACCTTGCTGGAAACTGATTCCAGAGATGGTTTAAATATCCAAATAACATCAGTTCATTTTGTATTTTTATCATGTTTTCTTTTGTTATTAAAATTGTTAATACTTTAATTGTAGAAATGGATGGGATTCACCATGATATTTCCCTACACACATACATCACACATTGATTCTGCTGTCCATCATTCTAAGTCGTCTTCCCCTCATTCCCTTTCCATTTCCCCCGACATCCTTCCCAAAACCCTATTAATCCCTTTCCCATTTTCAGATTGTGTTTTTTGTTTGTTTCCACATATGACAGAGAGCATGCAGTATTTGCATTTCTGCATCTGGCTTACGTCACTTAACATGGTATCTTTCAGTTCCATCCACTTTACTGTAAATGAAAGATTTCGTTCTTCATTACGCTTTAATAATCCTTCACAGTATGTTTAACCCATATTATCTTTGTTCTTTATCCAATCTTCTGTTGACAGTAACCTAGGCTGATTCCCTATCTAGCTATTGTGGATAGTGCCACTATAACCATGGGCATGCAGGTATCTACTTTCTATGTTGGCATTATTTCCCTTGGATATATACCCAGGAGTGGGACAGTGGGATAGCTGGATTATATGGTAGTTCTGTATTTAGTTTGTTCTTCTTTCTTTTTTTTAAATCTCCTTGTGTTTTTAAACCAAATAAGATATTACGCCAGGGTGAGTACCTGATATATTTATTATATGCAAGATTTAATTAAAAACTATTTCCAAAACCAAATTTACTCTCCAATCATTGCAGGAAGCATGAAACAACTGTTAACAGACCAGAAGGAGAAAAAAAAAAAACTTCCTAGTAAATATCCAGCAATAGGTAAAACATAAAATTGGCAAATGTTAAAGTGAAAACCGCCAATAAAAATCACATTCAGGTAAATGTACATTAAGATAGGAATTTATCAAAACAATTTCCAATCAATTCATTTAAAATATGGATTTAATGTTCTAACATCTCTTGGAAATAGGTAACAATCTTTTAGCAGTATTGTTTGTGATTTTCTTAGAAGTTTAAATATTTTATTTTAGATAACTACATATTCATATGCAGTTACAAGAAATAATATAAAGTAGTTACACATACCTTTTATGTAGTTTCTGACCATGATAAAATCTTGCAAAAATAATAAAATACAATAGTCAGGATATTGATAACTGGTAGAGTAAGATACAGACTTTACCACAGCATCCCTTAATCAGATCATTTACTGCCATACCTGTTCCTTTTCAGCCAACTTCTACTCTTTCTTCCTTAATCCTGGGCATCCATTTATCTGTTTCTCATTTGTAGAACTTTACCATTTCAAGAAAGGTTCCTAAGTAAAATAATACTATAGGGTGTTGGGATTCATTCAGTGTCATTCTTGACATTCTTCTAAGTTCTGTTTATCTCAGTAGTCCACTCTGTGTCCCTGAGTAACATCCCATGAAACTATAGTTTATTTATTCATTTATCTATAGAGACATCTAGGGAATTTTAATTTGAGATGATTATGAATAAATCTGTTAAGAACATTCATGCACTGGTTGTAACAAAAACGTAAGTTTGCATTTCTCTATGATAAATGTTCAGGAGTGCAATTGCTGGGTCATATGCTAATTGCATATTTACTTTTGTAAGAGACTGCCACAATGTCTTCTAGTGTGAATGTAGATTTTACATTCCCACCAGTGCTGCATAAATGATCTAGCTTCTCTATTTCATGGACAGCATTTGCTATTGTCACTGGTTATTATTTTTTATGATATTTTTAATTTCCATTTCTCTCTTCAACATTTTGTAATTTTCAATATACTGGTTTTGTGTATCCTTTATTTAGTTTACACTTTGATATTTTATGAGTATTATAAGTGGTATAATTTTTAAAATTTCTATTTTCATGCTTTCTTGGCTAGTATACAGTAGAACAATGGATTTTACACGTTTATCTTGTAACCTGTGACTGCTGAACTTATTTAATTGATCCAGTTCTTTTGTGGTTTTCCTAGGAATGTAGTTTTTTTTTTCTGGTGTGTGTGTGTGTGTGTGTGTGTGTGTGTGTGTGTGTGGTATTACAGATTGAGCCCAGGACCTTGTATATGCTAGATAAGCATTTTACCATCCCAGCCCAAGAATTTTCTACATAAGTAATTATGCCTTCTACAAAGACAGTCTGCTTCCTTACCAATTTCTAATGTTTCTTCTTGCCCTCATTAGTTAGAACTCCCACTATTAGGTTGAATAAGGGTGTTGAGAGGGGCCATCTTTACTTGGATCTTTCTCTTACAAGGATAGCATTTGGTCATTCACCATGTAGCACTGTTATCTGTAAACCTCTTTTTTTTTTTTTTGGTAGATTCTTGTTATCAAGTTGATGAAGTTCCCTTCTATTGCTAGTTTGAGAAAAGATCCTCTCTTGAATAATTATTCTTGAATGAATGACTTGAAGTCTCTTTGGTTCTCTTTTTTCTCCTTTATCCTCAGTTAAAGACCTTCATGATTCCATTTGGCACAGGAAAATAAACAATAATTAATGTCCCTATCTTCCTGTCAGTGAATTAACAATCACAATTCTATCTTCCAATATAATTCCTCTTTTTGTGCAATGGACATACATGGGCACTGAGACATAGATATAATTGGAAAAGCATTTTTCTGCCTAACTCACTCAGAATTTTTGTCATGATTTTCACTTTAAATTTGTTAAAGGCCAGAAGAACTTAGATGAGTTTTGCATTAAAAGATTGGTAAGAAGCCCTTGCAACCTCACTCTAGAAATCATAGAGCCTTTCCTTGTGTATTTCAACCACATACTCGTTGCTAGATCCTGCTAGGAGTGAGGGACAAAAATAGAGGAACTGTCTTGAAACTGAACTGCCAGGTTCCAATCAAGGTTACTCAATTGTCCCAAATATCAAAGAGTTATTCGATAAAGTATGTTAGGAATAAGACATGGAATAATTTAACTAAGAATTTTATTTATCCACCCATTTTCTACTATTTTACAAACAGATTCAAAGGGAGAAACAGATATAACAGAATATATGGAGGGAGAAGGAGAGAAACAAACACCTTTTCACTTTGTTCCTCCAGTCTATACATCAGTGGAAAAGTCCTGACTTGAATGGTTCTCTTTCTGAGCAGGTAGGTGATCAACAGGTGAGGGGAGGAGAGGAGTGACTGACAGTACTGAGGATGAGGTGGGTTATGATATTTTTCCTTCAGAGGATACTGCTAAGGCTTTAACCTTGGTTTAGCATGGAAAGGAGCTGGCAATTAATAGAAATTAGTGATCCTACTGGTTTTACCTTCATCATCAAAGACAGATTTCACTTCCCCAATCCATGTTAAAATGTTTCCTAAATACTGATACAAATCACATGTTCCTGGGAAATATTTTATATTAACATATTTCCCTAAAAGATTTAATAGAAGAGTCATTTCTACATAATATTTATACATATTATATTTTATTCTGCATGTTTTTGGACCAATAAAAGTAGCTCTTATATTTTTATATCCCAAAATCCTGGCATACAAAGTGTTGTCTAACATGTATGGTATTTTGTCAGGGATTCTGAAAATAAACAATTTAAGATGTTTAGAATTGTGGGGAAAAAATGAAGATGAAATTAAAGTACAGCTAGAAAATATCAACCAAACACCTATGGTAGTAAAAATTTCTCCACCTCAAGTAGGAAGTTACATAAACACAAGATCTGACCAACAGTACACTGAAGGTTAAATAAATGTATTTGGCCAGCATACTGTAGTGATTCCAGCATATCAATGCTTGTATCAGCACCATTCACAATAGCTGAGTTATGGAACCAGCCCAAGGGCCTGTTAGCAGATGAATGAATAAAGAAAATGTGGTATGTATGCACAACGGAGTTTTACTGAGCCATGAAGAATGAAATTATGGGATTTGCTGCTAACTGTACAGAACTGGAGAACATCATGCTAAGCGAAATAAGCCAGACTCAGAATGTCAAGAGTTGAAAGTTTTCTCTCATATGCAGAATCTAGAGGAAAATAAGAAAAAGAAAGGGAAGTGATCCCATGAAAATAAAAGGGATATCAATGAAGTACAAGAAGGGGAGGTTGGAGCTAAGGGAAAAGAAAGAACTGAGGAATGAAATTGACCAAAATATGCTACACACATGTACAAATATAGTAAAGTGAATCCCACCTTTAAAACACCTATTAAAAATAAATAGATAAATAAACAGAAGAAAGAGCTGTAGAGCAAAGGAAGGGAAATGGGTGAGGTAGGAGGAGAAAGAAAGAGGAAGTACTGGAAACTAAAGTGGAACCAATTATATTTCATACATGTGTGATTATGTATAACTATTATGAATCAATTAAAACATTTCCAAAAAAAGAAATATATTTGGGCCTCACTTCTCACTTTCATGACCACAAATTTGAATTGTTACATTATTAGTTTCATCTTCAGGCTGAGATGGGTAAGCCAACTTTTGCCAGCCTTATATAAATAAATGAATAGACAAATAAATAAAATGAACTCATTATTTTTTTTCTTTTTGTTTGATAGAAAATTATATGTTACATTTGGAAAAATTTGGCAGAAATCATGCCATGAAATTAACAAAATATGAACAGCCCTGACTAAAGCAGAATCCAGAAGCTCTTCAGGCAATATTCAAGTAAGAATTCTACCCATCTCAATATACTGTCAACAGGCCTTGAGAGATGTTTTTTTAATGTAAGTGTGGCATTTCTGTCTCTCCTTTTATTCTAGAAAGTTAAGGAAAAGTAATCTGTGGATCCATGAAAGACCCACTGGTAAATAACATTCAAAGCTTAGCATATGCTTTTAAACATTTTTTATTACTAACAACAAAAATTAGTAAAGTATATGAAGAATTTCCATTGAAAGCATTTGCATTTAAAAGTCTGGCAGATAAAGTATAAAGCATGATCCTATTTCTAATGATCTTGTGAGCCATTATATTCACCATGTAAGTGACAGTGAGAGATGCTTGCATTGAATTCTTACCTACAGAGAGAGAGTCTTAATGGCACCAAGATGTTTGTACCTTTTGACATTTGAGTATAACATTAAAGGTGAGTTAAGTGCATCCCAAGCGTGGCTACTTCACTAAATTTTGCACTATTATCCTCTTCACAATAAACCAATCATTCTTGATGTTCTTTTAAATGTGAGGCAGGGATTCATAAGCTGTCATAAAAAGGCACAGTACCAGAGACTGTTAAATGAAACAAGTTGAAAGAACAAAGCCAATTTTTTTTTACTTCCCAAAAGATCCCATGGATAACGGAAAGTAAGCATTGAATATAAATTATATGGTTATGTTAAAATAAAAATAGAATATCAATAAGAATTTCTCAGTTATAAATTTTATTTTGTGCATTTAAATGATTGGGCAAAGAAGGTGAAAAAGGAGATATGGAATGGCCCTAAAATGAGAAAGACCATGTCCAAAATAAGCTTGTTATAGTCCATGAAATTGGAAGAGTCTTCATTACTTAAAAATTTTAAACCACACTTAAAAAGTATTTCAGAACTGAAAAGAAGAAAGCAAATGACAACAGATATGAGCTGTAACAAAAAAGTATAATTGATTCAAAGCAACAAAAAGAAGACAGTATTCCCATCTGTATGTCTATATGTGACAGAATAAAATTAAATGCCAATACACATTTTGACTCTGCTAGAAAAAACAACTATCTGTAGTCATTTAGCTTAAAAGCTTAATAATATTGGCCGTTATTTGGTGGAAACCATCTGAATTGAATTTCTTAAAATTTCCATCACTCTTGCTCTACTGGATCTTTGGTATCACAATAAAGATTCAGTTGTGTCCAAGGGGCTATGAAGTAGTGATAGAGTTAAGAAGGAATACTAAAGGCGCCATCTAAAAACTCCTGGACAGTGGGTGGCATGAGTTTCTAGCACTCTCAGGAAGAGCACAGGCAGGGGTTTGAAGGAAATGGAGGTGATGAAGGGTTGAGGAATGTATAGAATTAGTGGAATTCTTCTGCATCTCCTCAAGATCCATTTTGCAGGCCACTCTGATAAGTGATAGAGGGTTAGACTTGGAACTTCCATAAAACAGTTCCTGGATCATATAAGACACCCTGAGAGGGTGGGAGGATCAACAACATGACCAACAATGTTGGAGCACCTTAAGGAAAATAGTTGAAAGTCAGCCGGGGACCTCCTATTCCAAATAAATTCACAGATCCTTGAGTTGGGTTAATAATGACAGAAACACAGGAACTCCCAGGGACTGGTGGAGAGTAGTAAGGGTGGAAAGGCTTCAATTTTCTGGGTGGGAACACATCACAGCCAAGTGCTTAGGGGTGTTAAACGCATCCTGGAGCTCACAGATGCAACTCTCCTAAGGAGAGGAAGAATAAGTTATTTCACAAGGGAAAAAGATGAAGTTTTGCATTTTTAATACCACAATTCCTCTGTTTTTACATGAAAAAATTAATCTTTGTTTTTATAGATCTGTTTTTAGAGATGGAGTGGTTATCTTGTAAATTCATGAATTTTTAAGTAAATGAGTGGGGGGGGGGGGGAAGATGCTTAGAGGACAAGTGCTTAGGAATTGTTTCCTATTTGGAATAATCACCCTGAAAGTATAAAAGTTTAAAAATTCTTGAGTAAAATTTCCATTAGTAAAAATATTAAGAGAATTTCTCTTTTTAAACAGATTTATTGAAGTATAATTTGTATGATGTGAAATGTACCTATTTTAAATGCACACAGGGCAATGATTTTCAGTAAGTTCATAATGTTGTGCAATGACCACCATTATTCAAATTTAATGTAATCTAATCATATACCCAAAAGGTTTGCTAACACCATACATGGGTGGTCAGGAAATGATTGAACAAAAACTGTGCTCAATAACTAGTGACCACCTTTCTTCTCTCTGGAGATTGATGTGTTTGCAGGTGAAGAGGCACATGCAGAGTTTGGGAAGTTGAGGCCCGCCTTAGTATTTACTCTGTCAGCTTGGGTGGTCCTCCACAACACAGCTACACAATTCCCCAATCATGAAGGGATGTAGGCAGAACTTACCAGCCCTTCACAGTTCCATTTAATTTTTCCTGCCCTCCATTTTTTCAAATGGTACAGTGACCTCAGTCTAACTGAGCTGTGGTCCTTCCCAGTGTTTTCTTCTGAACTTGCTAACTGAAAAATGTTAGGTGACATGGATATTTGTTGTCCATTCCTAATTCTCTCAATAAACAAATCTCTGTCTGGTATTCACAGTAAGCCCTGGCCTGATAAAATGACCTTAAACATAGAGAAGAGCAAAGCAGCAGCTGTACCTGACAGGAAGGCTCTGGGTCCCTTTGTTCTTACCTGAATATTACAAGTGAATACTGTTTATTTTGCTAACTCCATTTCCAGTTTTATTCCTCTTTTTCTGGGAGAGATTTGCCAAATTCGTGAATCTTCTGTAAGTCTCTAAATTTCCTCCATTTAAAAAATTGAGAATACATGTGCTCTTGCTTAAAGAATAAATGTATACCTAGGCATAATTATTAACAGTCCTGGGATAACTAATGGTATCCATGTTCTGTATATTGAAATGATCCTACCAGTTTAAAACAACATCAATTAATTTATGTATTGCAAAGATGATTTTAAGAGAGAGATTCTCATGCCAGACTGGAGTTAACTGATATGAAAAGGAAGAAAGAAAACATGCTTTATTTTCAAAATTTAAAAATTATGCTAAATAGTTTGGTTGTAGTACTGTTTTAGAGAATGAACTGTGAGACTTTACTGAATACTGAGTCTCTCAGCCCACATCCCACAAACCAGCTCACAAATAACATTCATTTACCAGGTAGAAACTTGAAGCATTACTTTCTAGGGAAATTGAAGTTTCTCAGATAAATGATTCACATATTCCAACACTTCAGCATCTCTGTGAAGTTGTCAGGTCACTGGTAGAATAGCCCAGTTATGCAAATAAAGATTCCAATCTGCATTTTAGTCCTTCAGTTCTAAGTATTTTGTTTTAAATAACTGCATTAAATTTTAAAATGAGAAACAGAATAGTAGATTAACTCTTTAAACTTTCAAATTAAATACCAAAATAAGAGACTAAAAAACAGTAAGTATAACTCACCAAAAAAAAAAAAAATCAGGTGGGAACATGCAGATAGATAATATTGGGTAAAGAAGAAAACTTTAAATCAGTAATGATGATTTATAGTCTCAGAGGCAAAAGACATTGTATCCATGTAACTGGAACAGAAAATTTCATGAAAAATGAAAGCAATCCTCTTAGAAATACAAAAGTGTGATAAGTAAATAATTCAGTAGATAAGCTGAAAGACAATACTAAGAAATATCCATGGCAATAGAAAAAGGGAGAAGAACAATATAAGAACAAAGAAAAATAGAGAATTGATACAGAACAACCAACTATGAAGAAGAATTTCAGAGAGGAAATTATATGTATAATTTCCTCTCTGAAATTATATATACAGTATTCCAGGCAAATAAAGGAAGAGATGGCACCATGACATGGAACATAGAAAAAATGACACAGGGTTTTCAAGGCTTAAACAAAGGACGTACTTCAAGATGAGGAGGAGACAAGGCTAAGGTTTTCAAGGACCCAGTCAGAATAGCCTCATTTTCTAAACTAAGAAGTTTCAAATGCATCCCACAGTGTCTAAGAGTCATGGAGTGGTGAAGTTAGAAAAAAAAAAACAGCTGTTGATTTTTTAAAAAATTTTCCTCTCTTTTAGTAATGTTTCAAAGTGATTAATTCTCCCAAGGAGTACCTCTCATATGTCACTCATCATTATTTAATGCCTGGGTCCATGAAGGAGGGCTGAGGCTGGAGATGAGAGCTAGGAGAGGCAGCAGCAGCTCCAGACAAGGGCAGAAAATGGAATTCTCTTGGAACAAATGAAAAACACGAACCTCTGATACCCAAGGTCCTCATCAAGGAAGCAGTTTTCTTCAAATTAGGTAACACTACCAGTAGATATGGGAAACAATTCCGATTTGTTGAATGCATATGCAATGGATTATTCTTATTTGCATTTATTGCCATTTGAAATGAATCATTTAACTGATTGTAACTGAACTAAAGAATATTGAAGAAGAAGGGCCAAAACTTCAAATACCGGCCCTCATGAGCAGATGGAGAGGAGTGGGCCTAGCCTGCATCTCACCCTCTGGGGCTTCACCAAGGCACCTGCTGTTATACATCTAACACAGTGGTTCAGTAGGAAGGCTGCACAGGCTATGTGAATCAGTAGCAAAGATAAATAGTCTGGCTAACCTTGCTACAGCCAAGACAAGCTCCCAGTCTGCAGTCCATGTTGACTCTCACATTTCTGCAGAGGTCCTACCTTTTTCATAGTAGGATACACTTTATTTTTCCTTTTCTCTATTCACCTCCCTTAAGGTTAAATTGTTTTTAGCCAAAAAGAAAAAGTCAACAATGTTAACTGAATCAAAGGGACATTCTTCTGAGTATTAGCATATCTCTTGCTGAACTTGATATCATTTGACAGTTGGAGGAGATATTTCTGTTGTTGTTTCTTGTTTTATTTAGCTGAAGACAGATCTCAGCAGATCAGTACATTTGCAGGCTACTTGGTTGAGATGTCAACATTAATTTTTTGAGCTATACAATACCTCCACAAAGTTGCCTGTGTGCAGTGGGCCGGGTGTTGGTGGTATTCAATACATAAAATTTACCTTGAAATCCCAACCCACAGTGAGATGGTACTGAGA